ATAATGGACAATCCTCTTTGCTGGTTTCTGTGTTCCAAAAATGGGTCCTGGAAATGTTTCTATGATGTTGGATCAAGCTGCTTATATTGCACAATATAATATGTGGTATAGTTTCTGCATTGAGAACAGATAACTTTAACAAAAAACTTTATAGTTCTCTTAAATAAATCCCAAAAGATCAAATCAAAAGAAGCTGAAAACCTCTTCTGAGGCATACATCTTTGTTCCTCAACAACCCCTCGCCTGTGTAAATGTTGATGTAAAAATCAACAGAGATTGCCAGGAGAAGAGTCAGGTAGTAAACACACCATTAGCTATAAATAACAGCTGGGAGGTGAGCTAAGTCTGTCCATTACAGAGCTGAGAGAGCTGTCAAGGTGCTGAGCACTGAGTGCTGCGGCTCCATCAGAGCCTGAGTGCTAATGCAGGCCGACACCTACTTTCTGTTCAAGCCAATGGGATATATGCTAAATGGCCCGGCTACATGGGAATACAGGCTGCATATGGTAAAGGGTACTAAAAGGGTAGGATTAGCAATTTAAATACCTTGTTCTTGCTGCATGTGAATGGGCCACCAGGGAGAAATGATGCTAACACCCCTCCTTTCTATAGTACGGACAATCTGTGTGGTGCACAAGCTGCCACAGGCACTTTCCTTTCAAACCCATCGTTCTTTCAGTGACATGCAAGAATTTTATGAATAAATGCATGTGTTTGAATGTGTAGAGTGGCAGGAAAATATATAAAATGTTAGTTTGATTCTATAGTCAGGTATACCGACATATAGGCCCACATGTACACATATACATAAAATAGAAATAACACATACAAACACAGCTGCATTCCTATATAACAATCTGCTGTGCTACAAAACTCAATTTGGATTATGTAATTTAAAAAGAAGATATAGTATATTAGTATAATGTTCAGGTATTTTCCAATAAACAGGGGCAATTGTGGTTTTCAATGTGTTGCACAATAACAAAACTGCAGATTCCCTCTTGACAAAGGTAAAACAAATTACCACAATAGGGGTTAAGACATGATTTTAGCACAGCATGAAGGGGACTTCCAAAATGTCCCCGGCTTGGTGGTCCCTGGTTTATGAATACATTATAATGCAGAGGTCCACAGTAAGATAGGTATGCAAGTAAGCACACACACACACACACACACACACACACACACACACACACACACACACACTCACATGTATTCACACCACTGTAGTTGTCCTCTTGGCAAAACGTAGAGAAAAATAACCCCCAGCAGGGTTTAGACATGATTCTAGCACCATTATACTGGAACGTCCAAAATGCTTCTTGTTGGCATTGTGTTCCCTGGTTTGTGAGTGTGCATAGGGCCTCAGTAAGATAGGTATGCAAGTCACAACACACACGCACGCAAACAAATAAACAAACACACTCCCACAACTGTAGGAGTGCTTTTGATTAAGTAAAAGAAGGAATAGTGGGGTTTATACATGATATTAACATGATTTAAAGGGGCTCTCCATGGCCCCTGTTGTACGTGGTCCCTTTTGAATTTGTAACGATGCAGGTCCACTCTTGGATACAAGCAGACACACGCACACACACACACACGCGCACACACACACACACACACACACACACACACACAGTAACAAACCTTCAAAAGGAGCATATCTGTCAGGTAATGCAATCACCCAGAGCAAATATAGCCTACCTCCACTGTTTTCACACACTGCAAAACAGTCACTCAAATTACCTTGTGAGGCTGACCAGCAGAGCATACACAAACAGCAGCCAACGACCTTGCCAACACTCACAGTCCCGGAGGACATTTTCCCTGATTTGTCAGGAGCACACTGGATATCATCTATCTTCCACAGAGAAAGAGCTGCAGAATTCAGACATCCACTACAAACGTGGCCTTTTCATGTCTTGGTGTTTCATAACCTATTAATATATCAGCTTCCAATGATACACAATATGTCAGGCTAAATTTGGGAGCGTGCAAAATATTTCTGCTTGAGCAATGAAAACATGATTCTGTGGTTGAGAATATCTTACTCAGTTTAAATATAACGGAGCTTCTATGTGATAGAAAGAAAGTTAATTTCTGTGATTAACATTTTAATCATGGATGAATATTTTGGCTGTTTCTGGCTTTAAAATGTAACTCTACTCTTTATTTTGTAAATTTAAAGTCTAATGGTTGTGACTGTTGGTTGCAAAAATAATTGGTGAGATTAGTCTATAACGAGAATAATCTCTGTTCAAAGTACCGGCGTTTCACAAGCGTGGAAGTAGATGTTAATAAAAACCATAAAATGATTAATAGTAATAAAATGTGACTTTCGCCCCCCCCTCCTCCCACACCTCTCCAACTGAGTGCAGATATTTCTACGACTGATCTCCATCCAGATAAGCAGAAAAAAGTTGATTTGGTTCTTATTGCTTGAAAGTGTTTTTTACCAAAATGGTCTTTTTACAACATAACTCCTGCCATTATGCCTCGACAAACAGCATCCCTGAGTGGGCGGGGCTGTCTCTCTTCCCCCAGATGGTGGCAGCGCTAACGAATGGACAAAGAGGAGATCCCATGACTTAAACATCTTTGAGCCTCTGAGCCAAAAACATCAACAAGCTGAAGTGCCGTCCCATCCCGTGTGAACACAGAGTCCAAAACAACAAGCTTAGAGGGAGTTTAACTTCACTCTTGTTTTAGAAAGGCATCAGTCACTGATATATTTAGTTAATTTGTTATTTATGTATATTTTATGGGTTTTTTTTAATCTCGTAACATTTATAGTGAATTAAAAACACAGTAGATACACATATTTTTAAGACAAGTTAAAGGAAGAATGTGTGACTTTTTGATCCAGTAGATGTCGCCCTTGAGATCCAGCATGAAACCAAAACAAACGTCTGTTTGGTGCCACCTCCGCTATCCTGAATCCTGAGCTCTCCACCAGCGGCACACCTCCTACCAACCTCTCCACTCGCATCCGCATGAAAGAGTTATGAATTAGAACGCAACATAATTAAGCAGCACAAGCGGCTGACAAAACTGTATTTTGCTAGAGCTGCAGTTGCCTGTGTCCTGCATTGTTGTGTTAGCATGCTAATGTTAGCGCTCTTTGGTTAACTTGTAGCTTCATTTTGCACATAAATTGACACAGAATGTTCCTGATCTGAAGACACTAAAGTGACATCCAAATAATCAGTGAGTATGTTCTTCTTCTTTTCTCTATTCCTTGACTGAAACAGTTTTATACAGAAGGCCGTCCCATTCATGTAAACCCGGACAACAACACAGCCAGCGAGTTTCTCAATCATTGTAGACAGTCATGACTCAGAGACACATTTACACAGGATAGACTTAATCTCTGCTGTATTTATGTGTAAAATGTTGCACATTCTGCCTATGAAATATTCCAGATGCCTGGTTTAGAAAATTTAGGAGCCTTTGCTTTAAACATTCAAACTCATCCAACTAACTCGCTTTACATCTGCATAAAGCTCCTGGTATTAAAACTGTAGAACCAGTTGTATAATCATCATCCTCCTCTAAATGAATTTGATTAAGAGCATCCTTTTGCATATGATTATCAGTTTCTCTTCTAGTTATGATTCTAACTGTGGCAGAGTCTTAACCACAGTTATTCTTCTCTGTGTTTGTAACCGGATTATGACACTCTGCTGCTGAGCCCTGTAATCAAACGTTGCACCTCCACACACACATCGTGTAATGTACCACCCTCCTTATTCATCCCTCCATTTATGTGACAGTGTTACACTCTGCCTGCCGGAGATAGCCCCAGGATTTTCCCTGCTAAGTATTTCCTTCTCCTGGATTATCCCCAGGGACGCATTGCAGCATAAACACAGGGGAATACAGTTGCACACATTACATTTTCAACTGGAGAGTTTTACATTTTTGTAGACATTTTTATCCCATTCAGTATCCTATATGCCAAGAACTTATTATGTATTTTTTTTTTTACCCATTTCATCTACTGCTATTGCAGGTGATATTTGAAGAATAAGAAAAGGATCATCATATCTTGGTGATGGCAGCACAAGTAGCTGAATTTGTACTTCCCCTTCTATGCTGACGATGCACAGCCTTATCTCAACGACACAGCTCCACCCTAAGTTCCTTGGCAACTGTTTCCCCACTCAGAACCTGGATGTCATCAGACTTTATCCAGAGCTAATGGTCAGTGGCGATTCTGATGTCTGGTGGGGCCTTAGGCAAAAATCAATTAGGGGGCCCTCCAACCATTTATTATGTCCGTCAGAGTCCCGCTTACTCCTCTTTCTCTTTATACCTGTTTCTTTTTTTACAGATAAAAAAACAGATAACAGATAATTCCTCTTCACTTTTCTTTGTTTACTTTTATTAACAAACTTCGGTATTCACTCAGCAATAATGCATGCAACACTTGAAGTTTGTGAGCCCTCAGGGGCCCCCTACTGGTCTGGGTCCCCAAGCAGTTGCCTGCCTTGCCTGTTGACAAGCAGCGCCTCTGCTAATGGATCTTCCCCTTGATGTGGAAACTTCTGGAAAGCACTCCCATTCAAGTCATGCAAATCTTCACCAAATCCACTCACAGCCAAATCAAAAACATCTCCTGAATCCACTCATTACGCTCTGACTTGGAAGAGACCCTTATCATGTTTTCATCATCTTCTAACTAGACTTTTGGTGTTGAGTCTTGTCCAGTGTACTCAGCAAATTCATGTCATTGTCTATTTATGTATTTTGTACTAATTTTTAGCTTTGACACATCAAGATTCCAGATGAAACTGGCCTCAGAGGATTGATATGAAATAAATAAGACATCTTTATCCTCATTCCTGTTGAAGTGCTTCGCAGTGCCATGGTCAAAAACCTTAAGGGAGCACTTGGAATTTCATCAAGAAGTTTTGATTCCACAATGCAATCACTTAAAATATAATGTCGTGTTTGAATAGAGATGTATAGGCAGAAGAAAACGGTTGTATACTTACCCATTGGGGTGCCGACCCCGTAGGCTTTGGAGTCAATAAGGCCTCCGATCTGGGTGAGGTTACAGTTGCGCTGAGTGGCAAACTCGATGGTCGTGGACTCCATGAGGAACGCGTAGTCCGAGGTGAGCACACGGTGAATGCCATCCTCAATGTTCTTCACCATCACTGAGTGCCTCCGACTGCTCATGAACTCCCACATCTTATCATAGGTGGAGATCTTTGTTTTCTGTGAGGAGACATGCATTGTCAGTAAGAAGATAAATCAGTATTACTTTATTAAAACACATGATATGTACTCATTACAAAAACTGTTGTTGCTGATTGTGATGGTTGGAGGTTGATGAAGAATAATTTATTTCTCAGCAGTTTTAATTCTCCAAGTGACAAAAACAAACAGGCAGACTCGCTGACATAACTCATTTAAATACTGCCAATGTGTGCAGCTCTATCTTAGCTCGCAGACACATTTACATTCAATTATTTCCCAAATTTCATTAGGAAAACACGTCATTTGCTTCATTTTGTGCAGCTCCAGCAACCCTATATGCCTTCTGTCTGCCTCAGTCACTATCTCCTGTGGGGAGGATATAGGCTGAAGCAGGCGAGCATGCTAAACAGCAGCTGCAGTGTGATTTTGTACGGCCGTGCATGCTTTCACCTATAGTTAGGAGCAGCGTTGTCAGCAGCAGTGTGCCTCACTTTCTACACCTGTAATCATGGAGAAAAATCCAGGAGCACATTACTCTCTAAGGGAGCTGATTTGAAGGCATTTTTGAAGCCATTTGAAACCTAATTAAGTCACATCTTCAAGGTCCTGCCCGCCATTATTGTGTGTAATGACTTTTTGTGGCTGGTCGATATTTTAGATCAACTGGGTGATTTGCGGAGTGCCTATCAGAATCTTTTGGAGTCACCCTTGACAAATCAGGCGATTGAGCATGCAAGCTTCAGACTGCTGATAAGGCGAGAGCAGTGGCTGTGAATATGCGGAGAGCCAGATAACCACCTACACTCCAAGAGAGGCACGGGCTTCCCAGAACCTCCAGACCTGAATAAGCTTAAACCATACAGAGATCTTGGAAAACACAGCGAGCACACGCGATGAATAGCTGTCAAGCTAAAATAGAAGTTAATTCCAACATAATCCAGCATTGCAAAATGTGTCATATATGACTGAATCAGTCACATAAAAGAACATGTCTAAAAAGTCTCTTTAAGTTTTCACCTGAATGCTTTCCTCTGGTTTTACAGTTCCCTGTATCCGCAATAAAAAACAACAACTCTGTAATCCCTTCATCACATAGAAGTGCCTGCAGATTAGCAATGCAGTACAATCTCCTCCAGTATTCAGATCTTGGCTGTAGCTTTTAGCCATGCACTTTTGTTCTGTTTGTCCTTAAATCACAGACTCAGTTGGTACGAGCTGAAAGGCCGCCAGCTATGTGTGAGGCAGCAGTGAGTGATGTGGGGTGAAGGGGAGAAAAGAGCCCAGTCAAAAACCACCATCAGTCTCAGTTAGATCAACATGTTGCGTGTGCAATCCTCTCTATTACTGTGCGAGTGAGTCTTGACACTGTGCAGGTTTGTGTCATAATCAGTTATAATAATGCACAGTCCGTATTGACAGGATATGTATTCAGATCCCTTAGTCTGTAAGCAAATGACCCGCAGTCACATTTGTTAATCAGTTGAGACAACTTATCAATTTACTGTAATTGCAGTCAATATCACAGAACATCAAAGTCTCCTTAAAGTCACCTTCACATAAAAAAAAACATATTAAATGATCATAATTCATACAAAAATCCAGGTTTACCCGCTTACATATTCAGATTTTGGTTGATATGAGTCTGTATAAAGAATGGACAGTCGATTACCTCGCCTCAAGTGAAGCCAAAAGATTTAGGGCTCCCTCTGCTGACTGGCTGTGGTATACATCAAACCCCGGCCTCCTTTATGTTAACAAGTACGAAACTGGTCAATCTAGAATTATTATTATTATTAAAATGAATCAAAACAATCTCCAATACATATGATTATAACCGGCCAATTGCACGCTACTGTGCCAATGACTGACGTTTCTTGAAGCGAATTTCTGAACATGTGGATACGATGATTTCATGAATAACTCACATCCTGAAAGCAGTGAGAGCCTAACAAGAGTGTGATCTGTGATGAAGGCCTTCCTTATTTCAACAGGAGCATGCATGCTTTACAGATTGTTGGAAAAAAATCAACACAGTCTGAAATCGGTCGAGTGTTGGCTTCAAAAGCGACCTTATTTGTGCTTGTTGCCCAAACAGTTCAAGAGCAGCAGAAGAAGAATTTCCGATTGGCATTTTAGGAGATTTATTAATAGAATAATCCGCTAAAACTCCAGATTGTGGAGAATCATCAAGGTATTCTGCTCTTACATAAAGATCAGACACGTGTAATTACTTTGATTGCGTTGAAAACCTCAATGACCGAATAACGATGGAAAAACTTGGAGCTGCTGTTCGTTGTTTCACTCTGCAGGAAGCTTAGCGCTTTGGATAGAAGCGTCTGCTAAATGAATTGTCGAATTGCAGGAAGGATTATAAAAAAGTTACAGGCTACCAAAACATGGATAACAAAGGGATCACAGCAAATAAAGGTGTACTAAATCTACACATAAAAAGATAATGTCCGTATCAACGATCAGATACATCTTGTTGTAAACATAAGGTTAAACTTTAATTGAGCCTCTGCACCTCGACTCCCACACCTCTACTTTGTGGACTGTTTTGTTTTTTTCATTAACGCCTCGAAAAAGTTTTTACTTGTCCAAATTCAAACAAACCTCAACAGTAGAAGAAGACAAAGAACTTTTGTGAGAGCCTACATGTTCCTCTGGTTTTGTAATGTTGTCCGACCTATACACAAGTCACGAGGTCTTAGCCTATGCTATGCAGCTATTTTAATAAGCATTCAGGGCACAAGGTCCTAACAACGCATTCTGCTCAGTCTCTGTTTTATGCAGAAAACACATTGAAATTCCTAACACAAACCTGAAGTCAACTTTGGATTTGGAGAATTCCCCTGCAGGCCCTGTCAGACAGCTTCACCAGCCGTCCACTGAAAGTTCAGCATCTCGTCTGAAAACAAGACGTTAATTGTTCTGCTCGCTTTCTCTTCTCTGAGCTGCGAGCGTATGAAGCAGAGGAGTGGGTTTGGGTCAGCAAGTCCTGAAACATCACGTAGCGGCTCACAGAAGCTGTGGAGCCTATTTCTTTCCAGCCAACAGTGCAGACTCAACAAAATAACAAATCAAACTAAAGCTGCTCTCTGGGACCTCGGGGAGTAGGAAACAAAAGTGCACAGTAATCATCCCCGCTCTGGAAATCAAATCGCAGACTTAATGAGAGGAGACTCATTTAACATGATAATATTGTTGGATTTGCAAGCCTATATTTACTTAATGCTATTCATCAGATGGAGTGTACAGTCTAGTGCAGGGTTAGCTTTTCCATCGGTCTTTAAAAAGACTCTCTAAACTTGGGATAATAAAGACGACCGGGTGAAACCGAGGGAGAGAATATGTTTACAGACGAGCTAATGTATCAGAATATAATTTACATGATATTTTCATCACAGCAGCACATACAGCAACAGAACGGCAGCTTTCAGTAGCAATTCCCACTTCCTTGTGTAGCGGTCTTTGACGTAGCATCCAGTGTTTCCACGGCAACAATAAACATTCTGTTGGTCATAGCGGCTTTGTAATGTTGGCCGCCATGTCCAAGAATTCTACATATTGTACTTTTAAATCGCTACATAGTGGTGCACTTTTGCAGAAAGTAAAAATGCATTACGTGCAGTGTGAAGATACGAGCAAAATAAAGACCGCTAGAATTAGCATGCTAACACAACAATGCAGCGCGAGTTGTTTTGGTTTCATGCTGGTGCTCAAGGGCGACATCTGCTGGATCATATAGTCGCATATTCGTCCTTTAAAGGTCTTACAAACACAATAAATTATAAACGCTTACAACATGAGTTAGGGTCTGATGGGACTTTGACTTGAAGCTGCCCTGCACAAAATGTGTGTTGTTGCTCCTCTTTGGATGTATTAACCATAAATGCTGCTTTTATTATAAGTAGAGTGACACATGATCCACTAGTTTTAGTATATAATAAAGTGAAAGTACATTCACAGTATGAATATTTAATACTGGTCTCATTTTACTGCATTTTCAGATGCCTTGCACTCTTTGCCCTCTAATACAACACAGCAGTCCTTCTGCTGTCACAGCCTCCGCCCGTCTGCTTTCTGCTTCTCCCTGACCCCTCTGCAAGAGCTCCCATTCTTTGACAGGCCTTTGTAGTCCTGACACAATGAATCATACATGTGGACAAGGACACACACTGTTGGACAGTCACACCTCTGAAGCATTTATTGCGTCACGCTCGAATGTATGCAACTGAATCAAGAACCCTTGATGGGGCATGAAAGATTAAAGCAGCCTTACATCATATGAACGTTTAATACAAATGAAGTTGAAAACATTTGAAGTTCTAACTTTCCAGGAACAAGACAAGTTGGCAACCATAAAAAATGTCCTATTTTTAAGTTAGATCTCATCATCCAACAGTGGGGTGGATGGTCTGTACAGTGGTTTAATGTTTTGTAGGTACTGTCTGTTTGCTTGTTATAATAATGGAGTTTTTGGCACTTTGACGATCTATCCATTCATCCATTTTCTTCTGCTTATCCGAGTTCGGGTCGCGGTTGCAGCAAACGCAGTCAGTCAACCCAGAATTTCTTCTCCCTGGCAACATTTTCCAGCTCCTCCTGAGGATTCCAAGGTGTTCATAGGCCAGAATGGATTCATAATCCCTCCAGCGAACCTGGGTCTACCCAGGGGTGTCCTGGAACGCAATGGATTGTGGGATGTGTAGTTCTTTTACTACCACTAAAAACGATGTGCACAGTCATGGTATCTTTGCCCTTTTCTCAGTTTCTCTAATCTTTTATTTTCCGCCAAATCTAATGATTTATAGTCAGGAGTTTTTGGGTAGCTGGTTTGGTTCCAGAATTACAAATATTGATTTTATGATTTTCTGCAATGGAGGATTTGAAAAGGAAAATGCAAAATTTACTTCAGGAACCAAGCAGCTAAAAACGTGGGCGGTGACTGTTGAGCTCTATTGCTGAGCTGATCTGGATCACTAAAAAGAGTCATAATTCCCATCAGTACTAGATGT